TGACTGAGGGCAGGTAGGATGCCAGGGAAGGAACAGTCAGTAGTTTGGTGAACAAAGTAAGTCGTTTTAAGATGAGGTTGACTTGCTGGAAAGCACATATCGTGCTGCTTGTTTCAGTATATGTGTACATGGCAAGCTAGGAGCAACATTGCTAACATGGAAATTAAAGATTACTTAGCTGGATGCAATAATCTGTGCACACTAAAATGGTGCACCTGGGTAAAGGGTCAGTGTTAAGTTTTGTGGGGTTTTTTTCTGTTTTCTTCTTCTTTTGTGACTTGATGGAAAGGTTCTCTTAAAAGGTTTAATGGACCTTGGTATGGTGGGGAGATCCACTGTCATGGATGCAATAAGATAATGCCAACTTGAAATTTGTTCTTGACTTTATTGGTCTTTTTGCTTACAGGTGAGTATAACCAAGCCCCTTTGCTGCTGCTTTGCAGTCCTTTTACATTATGTGCAGACACTTGTACTTGTGTTGGAGGCTCAGTCTCCATCTTGTTGCTTGCCACTTTTTTTCTGCTGAAGTCTTGCAGCCTACTGGTCTTGCTGCTTTATACACCGGGGTCTTGTCCAATGCTACCTGTATGCAGGTATGTCTTTCCTCATCCTGAGTGCCACTTGCCTTTCTCTACCCTAAAAGTCATTGTTCTTTTATCACGTGTACTTAATGGCCCCATTGCCACAGTGTAAAGTATCTGGCAATTTGAAATGTATGTCTGAGAAGCACCCCTGCAAGGCAGGGAAGTGTATCTTGCAGTTGAGTAACTGAGGCACAAAGAAACATAACCTTTTCAAGGTCACACTGGAAGCCTGTTTCAGAGCAGAGAACTGGATCCATTGCTGAAGCTGTTAGCACTTGGCCATCCTTTCTAAAGCATGGCTTTTTCTACCCTCTCTTCTCTGCTAATACTGTAGATGTACTGGAGGGCTGCTCTGTTCTTTACATTCATCTGAAATTTATTATTGGATGTGGGATGTGAAATCCAATTACATAAATGCCATACAACTGAGATAAGTTACTGCACAATGGGTCACTGACCAGTCCTCAGATGGTAATAAATATTGCTTGTTGCAGCAGTGTTGAACTGACCCACTGATTTAACTAGGAAACTTGGCGTCTTATTAATAAGTTCTTTGGACATCCAGCCCCTTGAGTGTGGTCATGAGTACAGAGGCACATTTTTGATACTTTACTATACTGTACTGTGGTAGTTCTGTCTTAGTTGGTGCAGTCGGGATCCAAGGGAACTGAAAGCTGTGTTAATGTTCTTTTTTATTACAGTTCTGCATGTGAAGTAGTTGCACTTAGCTCCTTGCAGTGCCACAAACTGCCACGTGAGGGCACCTTTTCCTGGCTTTCAGGATATATTTTTAGGGTAAAACATGTCATAGGTAAAGAGTTTGACATTTCTGTGAGAAACAGGTCTGTGATGGATCTGTGTATTGTAAATCTGTGTTGAAAACATTAATTTTCTAGGTGCGCTTACACAGTTAATACGGAGTAAGTATAACACTTCCTGGAAATGTAATGTAATTGAGAATGTAGGCACTGGGGAACATGATACCTACAGGGCTACCATTATAGATGATTGGCTTGGTTCTAGCTCTGGATTTTTACTGTTAGATTTTATTAAAATTGTCCATAAATGGACACTGGTAACAAATCACATTTGCAGATGTAACCTGCCATTTTCCTCATGCCTGCCCATCATCTTTAACCAGAGGTGATCCTTACGCCTTGGTGCAACAATCTGTCATTGTGTAGCAGTAGAGCAAAATTAACTGGAGCAGCAGAGAAGGAAGGAATACTGAGGCTTGTGCTAGGAAAAGTAAACTCTCTAAATGTCTGTCTGGTTTGCTTATGTTTGGTAGTGTTGGGCAATATGGACAGAAATAAGAGTTCTAATTTGTCAAGATTTTATAGCAGGACCCTTCCACGTGAACGCAGTCCTGCATTACTTACAGCTCAGGCTAACAGCTTTCAGCAGGAATTATCTCTTCTCATAGAAAGAATGGCATAATGCTTGAGAACTTCAGAAAACTGTAGGGGTCTTTGAGGCTATTTGATTCACATCCTTAAATGCAAATTACACAAATTTTAAATCTCTGGTAATTTTTTCTAGCCTTCATTAGGATTAAGCTGGTGATTCTACAGTGATTCTCTAGTTGGTATTTCTAAGGGTTATTCTCATACCCAGCCTAGTGTACAGTACTGACTGCCCTTGCAGCAGTAGAGATGCAGGATGACAGATTGTACAGCAGTTCTTTCACTGATCAGCGAAAATGTAATGCTACCACTCTAGGATGTTCTGCTTTCATTCGGAAGTGGTGCTTGCCAGCTGCATGCTAACTGTCAGTTGGGAAAGGGATTGAGGACTTCAGATAGACTGCATTTACTCAAGGCAGTGATTCCTGTAATAAGACAGGAGACAGAATGCACACAGAGCAGGGTGTTTCCTTTTGCTTTAAAGAGCACTGAGAGCAGACCATTGCAGATCCAAAAAAATGAACCAAGAGGAGAGGAGACAGGCACGACAGATGCATTTTGAGGATTTCTGTTGATTTAATGTGCCAGAAGAAATTCTTGGTGAAATAGTAAATATTGATTTGGTATCTACCTGAGACTAAGCCAGAATCGGAGATTTTTCAGATGCCAGATGACAACTTTGAAGCCTGTTCCTTGAATTCTGGCGTCCAGTTCTGTAATGCAAACATCGTCATTGCTTATTCTTAAGTTTCCGTGCAGTGAGGTAGTCCATGTATATTGAGACAGACTAGAAAAAGTGTGATGACCCTCCCCAATTGTTGTGTTTGAGGCAGTGTGTTTAACTGGAGCTTGGGGGCTTCTTACCCCACACCTCTGGCATTAATCCCAATCATATGAGGAGCCATGAAGTGCCTTGTCCTTCAAAACCAGACTTTCATGCAAGAGAGAGTACTTCCTGGGCGGGCAGCGCATCTTGGGTTGCTCTGTGTTCTGTGGTGTCACATTATCAGAGGGTAATTATGAGCTGTATGGTCCCCTTGCATTTCAGAGCCAGGTGAACATAAGCTTTTAGAAAACTCCCACAGATGCAAAGTGGTCAGCTTGAGTGAGTGTGTGCGTCTTCTAAAGGGCAAGTGTGTGTGTGACACTGCTAAAGGTCTAATGGATTTTTTTTGCTTCTTCCTGGTGCCCTCCCAACACTTGAGCAGACTAAATTTTCAAAGTAACACCAACTTAGTGTGCTAGGTCTGAGCTGACAGCTGGTAATAGCATGTACCATGCATTTCCATAGTGGAGACTAGGGATTAGTTTTCAGAGCAAGAATCAGTTGGCTTTGGAGTCATGTCATAGTTGCCTTTTTTGCCCTGAAGGGGAATGGAATAGTGTGCAGCCTTTATCTGGAAGGAGCACTGTAGGTGAAGGGGCTTGGATGAGTGAGTTTTGCATCCAAAAGCTTCTGTGTATGTATCTCTTCAGAAGCAGACAGCTGCTGGTGGAAATTCCCAGTCTGTTTAAATGCTCATTTCCCTTTCATGTGGACACGTGCACAAGATCAGATTCCTTATGTTAACTTTCAGATGAATGTGTGGCCTCTCTCCAGCAGTTTGACAGTCACTTAAATGTTTGGGGGATATTTGGGGATTACGAGGAATTGTAAAAACAGTCCCTCTGATTATTGACATTCAGGATGCCTTCAGCAGCCTGACTTGCCTCCTAAAATATATTAAGAGGGAAGTTTGTTTCCCCCCACCTTTTTCTCCAAAGTAAAAATGGCTTATTTTGATGTGCCCCAAAATTCCCTGGAATTGGGCTGTTTGCAGGGACGTGGAATAACTAGTGCGCTGCTCTGGTGCAGGGAAAACTGGCACCAAAATAATAGAGTGGGTGCTAAAGCCCCATTTAAAATAATGCGGTGCCAAGTCCTGCCTGTATGCTGATGTGCAGTTGGGCACAGCACCGGGGAGGGGAGTCCACCTCAAGAGTCCTGGTCAGAAGTAACCTTCAGGGAACACTGGTTCTCCGGCTGGACTGATTCTCAGCCAGGGTGCCACATGTGAACGCGATCAGGATTGCAAATCTGTTCACAAGAGAAACTCAGATTTCAAATAGGAATCCATGGTGTCAAAAACACTGAGGTATTCTGGCCTTTAGCATATATTTAAAGCAGCGTTGCTTTGGCTGTTCCTGGGGCTAATACCAGATTTGGGGCTGATATTTGAGACTATAGATTGTATTTTTTATCGTAGCTCATAAAGGAGTGGTGTTACTGGCTGATGCTTAGAACACTTTTGTTGGTTTCTTCTTTTTACTGTAACTTTATACCTACCACTTTTTTATGTTTATACAAGATCTCCTTTTTGAGAATGAGTCTGTTGTGAAGATTTTCTTACTGAAGCGTATGCTAGTCTATTGTGCTCGTAGCGTTGGAAGACTGTTAACGTAGAAGGTTCTGGCTGTGGGTGCTGCTTTCTGTGACTTAATTTTAGGGCTAAGATTAGGGCATGTTAGAAAAGTAGGTGTTTGGTTCCCTTACAGGGACTTAAATAGGGTTCAGTAAGGTGGCAACTCAAGTATCCAAGTCCACTTAAAAAATAAGTGCAATAGGATTTAGTCCTTCAGTGTTCAGAGAAAATTATTTCAGGAAGGACTCTGGAGAGGGATTTATTCTTCAGAGTAGGTAGAGCACTATAGCTGAAGTCTTTAGCCACATGACTAGAAATTATTTTGTCTCCATTTTTGCCTGTTTGACAAACTAAATGTTGTCAGTTTAGGAAGTTCCCAGTTAATTGCATAATATTACTCTGATAACAGAGTTCTTCTTTATAGGGAAGTATTTGGTTTTTAATTGTCTTAAGTATTTCTATTTTTTGGCAAACTGTTGAATTGGGTACACTTTCTCCATTTCATCTTTTCCTTCAAGTGTGTTGAGACTTGAGCAAAGAGAACCATCAACGTATGGGCAGCAGCAAGTGTTCCATGGGCTTTGGGTGGGAAAGCTTCTTGGCTAGATCACAAGAAAAGTGATTATTTTGGATTCCATTGACTTTCTTTGCCTTCCACCCTGGATTTTTTTCCCTTTTTTGGTCTGCTGTTCTAGGTCACCTGAGGGAGCAGAAATTTTGATTAGCAGAGGATCATATTTTTGCCTTACCCATTTGACATTTTAATGTGTAGTAAATGTATCTATAGATCAGACTGGGCATATCTTTTGGTAGCCTGGGCAATAACTTCAGACACAGACACATTGCTAGGTCATGCATTCCCATCTACAGTGTTAGATTTGGTTTCTTATCAGAACAAGATTGCTGTAACTCCTTCAACTTCAAATGAGATCAGCCTGGTGCCCTTGTCCCGGTTTTGCAGACATGCAGCTCCCTGAAACCAAGAGGCAATTTCATGATAATGCTTTTATTAGAAAATCTGTGTGAAACATGAAGTAACTTTGTCTTCCTTGTTGCAGATCCATAACATGGTGGCAGTGCTGGAAGTAATCTCCAGTTTGGAGAAATATCCCATTACCAAAGAGGCACTTGAGGTATGTCACCTTGCGTGTGGAATCAACACACGCTTATTGTATGAATGGACTCTCTCTGTACAAGATCCTTTAATACCCTTAAGGTATAACTTAACGCAAAGCTAGATAACTTGCAAAAGAATACAATTTTTAAAAAGTCATCCTAGTAAATTCCCCTGGGCTTCCCTGACATCTTGGTAGGATGGAGCAAGTGACTTTCTGGGTCCTAGATCAGCAGAGGGTGAGGTATATAGTGCAATCCACTTTCTGTTCATAGAAGGTACCACAGTAATTCCTGCTTGCTGCTGGTTAACTCCATGGCTGATTCAGCCTTTGGTATGTTATATGACTGGTCACTTTTCCTTTTCTTGTTTTTCTTGACCCAGTCAGAACTGTGTCCTTGTATACATCCGTAGGATGAATTTGAAATATGCCTAATTTTGTTTCAGTGCCTGACTGGTAAGGTTAGTTCCCCCAGGCAAGAATTTTACGTAGCTAGAAAGAACACTTCTTATGATTGAACCATACTTGGATGGTCTTATTGTTCAATTCAGCCTTCACTCTGAACTATTCTTATGTACAATGTGGGATCTGGTTAAGAATAAACCTTATGAGATGAAAAGGCCCAGCACCTCTGCTGGCAGTAGGGTGCATGCACAGGCTTGTATTCATCAGCCTCATTAAGCCCTCTGAGAGCTGTGTCCAAAGATTTTTTGCCTCGAACTGTCTAAAATATTTGTAGTTGGGGTACCGCAAGGATATTGGGATACTGTTGTATCTACTGCCTATACCTACCGACAATGGCGGCATCTTCCCCAAGTCAGCATTTTGCATGTGGCTCAACAAGTAGCTGTGGTTCTGCTAAAACTGCCTGTCAGTTTGGGATGGTTTGTTTACCTCCCAATGCTGCTTTACACTGTGGACCACCGAGGAGTCTGTTCTAGGATGCCGCACTATTAAATTCTCACTAAGACTAATGTTGAATAATCCTCTGTTGGCAGACAGACCTGGTGAGGCTCAGCTAACAGGTCTTTGTCCTCTTGTCCCTGGCCTCTAAGAATTGTGGTTGCTGCCACCAGGAAACTGCAAACTTGCAAACTGAACATTATTGTATTTCTCATACAAGTATGACACGTCCTGTGGTAGACAAGTGCTTTGATTGCTGCACTACACAGTACAACAGTATGTTATATACTTTGACTTTTGTGGGTGAGCATCGCACTTCTAAATCATAAACTTTGCTATTAGAGTTTAACGTTCAGTCAGCCAGGCACCAAAGGCTCCAGCTAAACTCGCCCGTTCTGCATGAAAAATGTCAAACTTAAATTCCAGGTTCCCATCTTTAGCTCACGACTGCATACACTGGGATCTCTTTCAAAAGATTATTCTCTTCCACTTACGACAGCAGCATTACTTTTCCAGTAGGATGTCAGCTGCTGCTGCTGGTTCTGCTGAAACCCACAGCATCATGCCTCTAAAGAACTTTATAGACTAGTCAGGAGGATTCCAAATTATGTACCTTACTGGGAATCTTTCTTTCAGGAACCACACAGCACTGCTTGGTTAACTCAAGCCACAATAATGACACTGCTTTCCCAGTGGACACCAGTTAAGATGTATCCAAACTTCTATCCATTCCAAACCTATTTTATATAACGTATCTTAATGCGTTCCATTCTCCCTGGCATACAAAAGCAGCTTGATTCCTTCACAGTATGTGTTTTTAATTTAATTTGATCCAGAAGCACTCCTTCCATTTAGTATGGCTTCTGGAGCAGCTGCCTGAGGTTACTGGATATATCTGCAGTATAAGCAAGAAACAGAGCGCCACGTATCTTTGTCACATGTTGAGGGGTGCTTGTCATGTTTAGGCATCTGAAAATGTTGACCATCCATAAATCCCTTCGAAAATCTTTGGATTTTGTTCTTGTCCTGGGGTAAAAAGGTGCTGTGTGAACAACACCTGACTCAGTTTCAGTTTCTTTGTGTCCTTCACTGTCCAACATGTGGTCCTTTGTGGTGAGCATGCATCTCGTCTGGCCGGACGAATTTCCCACAGAACTTGCACAGGTTTTTCTCTGTCACTTCCAGAGTTCTACTGATAAAGGATTTCCTTTCCCATCTTCTCTGCAAAGGGCTCCCATGGCACGCTGGCCAGGGAAGAGACAAGACAGCTAAGCAAACTTGTGTAGTTTCCTTGCGTGGCAGGCCTTTGGGTCTGCCGAACCACCCCCCTTGCAAAGAGAAGAGTGAGCCATTATATTTAGCTGTTTTTTTCTTTTTTTGGCTAGGATATTTGTTGGTAGACTATATCTGGTAACAGGTGAAAATGCATTTTAGGACTTAAGTCATGATATCATCTCTCTCTTGGAAATTATAAATGTTTTTTGTGAAACTTCTTATTTACTTACAGGAAACAAGACTAGGGAAGCTCATCAATGATGTAAGAAAGAAAACGTCCAATGAGGAACTTGCTAAACGTGCCAAGAAATTGCTGCGGAATTGGCAAAAACTAATAGAACCAGTAACCCCGAATGAACCCGTGCCAAGAGGATTGCCGAATCCGCCTGGGTCAGCAAATGGCGGTGGTCACAACTGTAAACCAGAAGCGCCACCTGCTGCAATGCCTGGATCCAAGCCCGTGAATGAGTTGAAAAGCAGGAATGACATACAAAGGCTGAACTCCCCGAAACCAGAGAAACTGGGAAATCGGAAGAGGAAAGGTGAACATAGGGATGGGCATCAGGGCCCCCCTCCTCCTAAAGTTTCCAAAGCAAGTCACGAAGTATTGCAAAACTCTTCACCCCCGCCAACTAATGGGATTGGGGGGAGCCCCGAAAGCTTTCCCAGTCCTGTAGATGTAAGCTTGCACACGGGGCCTGAAACCAGCAGGACAGAACACAGTGAAAATGACAAACACAGTAAGATCCCAGTAAATGCTGTAAAACCTCATACCAGTTCTCCAGGACTTGTAAAACCTTCAAGCACTTCCTCACTATTAAAGACTGCAGTGCTTCAGCAGCATGAGAAATCAGAAGAAATCGCAGGACAACACCAACCTAAGAGCCCGCGTTGTTCCTCGTTTAGTCCTAGAAGCGTTAGGCAGGATACTTTTCCTCGACAACATACCACATACTCACCAAAGGGTTCAATGCCTAGTCCATCTCAAAGGTCCCAGTTCTTAGACACTGCACAGGTGCCGTCACCACCACCATCCTTGATGCAACCATCAACACCTCCAATGCCAGCAAAACGACTGGAGGTTTCTCAGCAATCAGGACCTGAGGTATCTCACCATTGGCAGGAGCAGGTATCTTCTGAAAGCCAGCACAGGCATCCAACAGGGACATTTCCACAGCACACATCTCCTGGCTGTAAAACCAGCTCACATCCTGGGGAGTCTTTAACACCACACATTGGCTTTTCACAGGACACTTCAAAAATGGACAGCGATGATGCTGCTTCAGGTTCAGATAGTAAAAAGAAGAAAAGGTACAGACCCAGAGACTACACGGTCAACTTGGATGGGCAGGTCACAGAAGGGGGTGTGAAACCTGTCAGGTTAAAAGAGAGAAAACTCACTTTTGATCCCATGACTGGACAGATAAAACCTCTAACACAAAAAGACCCCTTGCAGGTAGAAATTCCTGCACTTGCTGAACAGCACAGGACAGAAACAGAAGAGCAGGAGCAAAAACCCAACCTGCAAAGTCCTTTTGAACAAACGAACTGGAAAGAATTATCCAGAAACGAAATAATTCAGTCCTATTTAAATAGACAGAGTAGCTTGCTGTCGTCTTCAGGAGTACAAACCCCTGGTGCTCACTACTTCATGTCTGAATATTTAAAGCAGGAGGAAAGCACTAGAAAAGAGGCTAGAAAGACTCATGTTCTAGCTCCTCACAGCAAGCCCACAGACTTGCCTGGGATCACGAGAGAGGTCACAAGTGATGATCTCAACAGAATACGTGAACATCACTGGCCAGGTGTGAACGGTTGTTTTGATACACAGGGTAACTGGTATGATTGGACGCAGTGCATATCTTTAGATCCACATGGGGATGATGGTAGATTGAATATCCTGCCTTATGTCTGCCTAGACTGAGTACTGTTTGCTAAAATGCTTTTGCATCTGCAGTTAGCAAAGATGGCAGACACTATGCCACTTAACATGGAGAGAGCCTCCTGTCATGGACAAAGAGGCCCACCGAGCAGAGGGTGTGAAGGAGCTGGTTCTTTTCAGCTCTTTCCTTTCAATTCTCCTATTGTGAAATGCTGCTACCAGTTTACTAACAAAATTGCAAAGGAAGGCATACGAAGGTTGATAAATTGAGTTCAAAACTCTATAGCAAGCCAGCTATAAAGTGTTAGTCCCCAAGAAGTGAAGATGATTTCCAGCACTTTGTGAATGCCGGAATCTTATTACAGGCAGGTACAGATAATTTGTGGAAGTTACCTTAACAAAAAATGCATCTATTTATTTGACTTGATTTGGGTTTTTATTTGGCAGTGAAATATCCGAGACAAATGTGCAAAAACTGTAGTTTTATTTGCATCACACATCTCTGCCCATGATTGCGTTCTTTTACAGTCATGTAGTACAGAGATTGGTTTTAAACGGCAGGTGTTGCACTGCAGGCTGGCGAGCCAGCTTCAGCTCAACATTCCATAGGCATCCACATATTTTAGTCTGGTTTCAGTTTAAATCCAGTCTCTGAGAAATGCTGCAAAAACTAGTTGTTTTAGTTATTCTTCAAACTTGATCCCACCACTACCAGCCAAATAATTTTTCTCTTTTCCCAATCTGGAAATTTCTAGGGGGGGGGGAACATCACCTTTTCTAGAATCCAAAAGAAATGAGGGTGCTACAAGTTTGTAACTGTACTGTGAGAGGGAAAAAGGAAGCCTGTTTGTATGCTGGAAATATACTTGTTACCATTCCTTTAGATATTGTTTGCCTTATGGATATCCATCATAAACGCAATTTGCAAAAACAAAGAGCCTTAGTGAATGTACAGTAACTAGACTTCTGTGTTCTTGGGATGCAGAAGGGAGCAACTTTGCTATTTGGTCCTTTAAGTGGACACATTGTGATATAAATGTGGAAATAAAAAAAATTTGCACAAAAAAGTTTGTGAATTATTTATATTTGAAGTTGTTAAAGTTTGGTCAGTTCAGATGAGCCAAATGATGATGACTGAAACAGAGTATGTTCTGCATAGTGTGACAAACCTGCATCCTGTTTAGTATTTTTCTAAGCCAATTGGAGATGATTAGTGATAGACAATGTATTTTCCAGCTTTTCTTAGTCTTCCAAGTGTGCTGACAATATTTAGTAATATGTTGGACTTTATTTAAAACTCTGGCTAAATCCAGGAGGAACTTGTTTAGTTTTAGAGACTGTCCTACAAGTTACTATTAAGGTACCCCAGCTAATTATTTGGTTTTCTCTTCAGTAACTTAATCATCCCAAATGTTAATTACGACTTCTTTTATCAAGGTCTGGTTAAAAACAGTTCATATTCAATACAGCAGGCTAAATGTCTCCAACTGTTATGACTTGAATAATCAGGACCGCTTTCTTTTTTACCGCCTCTGAGATTAGGTTTCTCTCCTACTATATTAAGATTTTTTTTTGTATTAATGTTGCTGCCTCTAGTGACCAGAAAAGCACCATTGGGCCCTGATCCTGCTTCCATGGAGGCACTTGGCAAAACTTCTGTGAGAGCAGGATCAGATGCTTAATTATTTATACAAATACAAGTTTTAAAATACAAGTGCTTCATTGGGTGAGCATTGGGTTGTTCCATGGAGAATAATGTGAAAAGTGTTTGAAGTCTAACCCTTTCTATTCAGACTGAATGCTTTTGTGATTTGCCTGGCTGGTGAAATACTGAAATCTGTTGTATGTGGGTATTTCAAAAATCTCTTACTGGTACCTCACTGTTTCTTTTCTAAATATTAAGGTCCTAGGGAGAGGCTTCCCCGATGGAGAAACTAGTTACCATGAAATGTTTCCAAGTATATTTTCAGTTTACTTCCATTTTACCCTTCTGCAGTGATAAGGTCATGCAGGCTGTTTAGGGCTGGGAAAATTAAATGAATCTTGTGAGTCAGATGGTGGAGGTGGGCTAGGAAGGCTTATCATCCTAGAAATGCTTGACCTTGTTTATGTAGAAAACTTTAAATATATTTATTTTTGCACCAAAAGAGTCTCTGTTCTTTCTCTCCCCCTTTTACTCTTTCCCTGAATCACCATCTTGGACGGAGGGGAGGGGTGTCTCATCCTCTCATTAAGGAGGCCTCAATATAGGGACTAATCTCAGGGAATGCTTTTATCTGCTAATTAGACCTGGGCACACTCTTTCCCTCTCCCTTCCTACCACCCCCTGGCTTGGCCACTTTTCTGCTGAAATTCTGACCGGGGCCCTGTGGCAGAAGGTAATGCTCTGACTTTCAGTGGTGTCCACAAACTTGCTGCTGTATCCAGTGGTGCTGTAAAATAAGTATCGGGCTCAGCTCTTACCCCTCGACAATATGATTTTGTGGGATTTTATTTTATTTTTATTGTGGGCTTTAAATCTTACTAGTTTTTAGAGTTTTTGTGCAGACAGTCAACCCGTTTGGATATAACCCAGGGTAAAAATAGATTTGGCATCTATATATTTTTCCATGTTACGTTGGTGTAAAGAGTTCTGTGGGCTCCAGCAACTGTGAAGATGTTTACAAGGTGTTTTTGTCAATTTTGTAAATGAGTTCAAATGAAGTTTACCTTGTACATGTGTGTCCGATTGCTTTGTATTCTCATGTTTGCATGGATCCTGTTCCTCTGCCTATTGCTTCTACTCTTGGTGCCTTATCCTGAAGTGTAAAATCTAACAAAAACGCTGTTGTGTGCGAATCCCTTCAGGGACTTGGGGCCCCCACACTTGTAGACAAAAGCAGCTAAAGACCGTGTCTGCTGAAATGATGCTGTATGACTACCTCCATTTTTTCCAAAGGGTGCAGAGAGGAAATACCCTGCAAAAGTGACTGATAGTGCCGCTGGGGAAGGGATCCTGTTCCTGCCATCCCGTATTGCTAGCGGCAGTGGTGCTTTATTTCTCCAGTGCTAGGGGCTCATGTCAACTCACCTCTGCACTGCGGCGGGAGCAGGGCAGGTGGCCGGGGGGTCCCGCAGGACTGCCGGCGCTGGCCCGGGGGCTGCAGGCCAGCCGTCGCTGCGGCGGCCACTCGCCCGGGACCTGGTGCTTAACTTGGCGGAGCGGGAGGCGGCTCCTGCCCGTGCTGGTCTCAGTCTGGCGGGGACTGAGCGGCGGGTGGGCCCCGCAGAGCGGGCCGGGCCGAAGCTGCGTGTCCACGACGCGGGCCGGGGCCTCCGGTCACTGAACTGCCCGGGGCGGGGCGGACCCGGCGCCTATTCGTGTCCCCCCCGCCGCACACCCCGGCAAGGGCTTC